GGTATGGAGAGTGGAGGAGGTGGGGGGAAGAGTGGACGGTCATGAAAGTTTGTCCCCGCAATTTGAGCTACGAGCTGGGAACTGGGAAGTCCTATTACTTGTTGGTTACTTACTTCTAACGAGCGCCACTGTATGAAAACTGTCTAAAACTTTTATAAAGTCGATTTCGCAAAGCTAGAGGGAGGCCTCTCCTCGCCCGGCCCCACCACCCGCGCGACCCGTACGGCGCCCTCGCCTTTCAGTTCTCGTCCCTTCAGTTACAAGCCCTTCCGAACTCCACGCGTCGACCTCAGAAGGGGCTTTGCGTCACCTTAGGAGTCCTGCGGGGTCCTGCGGCGCTTCGTGGCGGGGCAACCCCGCCCGGAGGGGAGGGGAGTTGCAGTGCGAGTGGGGACGGGGACCTATCGTTGACCCCTGTTGCACCTGCTTGCTTGTGTGGTGGAGGGTCGCGGTCTACCGCGCGGGTCTAGCGATGGAGGCGGCGCCGTGACGCGCGGAGTGGAGTCGGCCGCCGACACGGGTCGCCCAGGTCGCCCATCGAGTAGGCGTGTTTGCCTGTCGGCCGCACAGACCATAGCGACACTACTTGAGCGTACCGTCTGACCGCAGCCCAGACCGGCGATGACGGCGATGACCGGGGCGGGCTCCGTCTGCTCGACGGCACTTCGTCGTTGTTGTTTGCGCGCGCGCAACCCGGGGGGGTGGGGGGGGGTAAACTAACCTCTCCAGAGTCGAGCAAACTCTTCATCACTTTGACAACGAACTCGGCGCGCGCGGGTGCGCGCTGTTGCGCTGCCGCCGGGGTCGACCGGGACAGAGACGGTTGGCTTTTAAAACAAACCGCAAAAACAAAAGGAAGAAGACAGTGCAAACAGACACAAAATAAAGAAAAAAGTACGTTCAGCGGTTGAATGCCTTTTACTTGAATGATTATGCCGCATCTGACCTAATCGGCTTGGAGGGCGCGGGGGTCATTGCCCGCCCTTGCAGGCAACAAATAACAAATCACCACAGGTGGACAGATAGCAAGCCTAGCAAGCGGAGCTAGCAACATGATACGTATGATTTGACGCCTAAGGGTTGACTGTTGAGGAGCTTTTGAGTATTTGCATATGAGTTATCATTGTCCTAACTTTGGGAGCGCGGTATAATGCGGGCTGCTTGGTATGTTTGTTTGCAGCAAGGGGCTTGCTTTTTGTTGTTGTTTTTTTGCACGTGCGGAATATTACGCATTCCACCGGAGGCAGAGGGAAAGAAATGAGGGGGGAGGGGGCTGTTGGAGCGCTGATGAGTGGAGAGCGGCCACGCCACGCCGCGGTGGGCGTGCGTCGCGCTCTGAGTCACAGCAAACAGACAGCTGCTCAGAGTTCAGGAGGTACACACACATAGTTCGTGCATGTCGTGTTTCAAATGAGCGTGAGTCGATTCCGGGGAAATATAGGCACGGGAGCACTGCGTGCGTCCGGGGAAAATCAGCATCGTGCCGTGAATAAATAACCTCAGGTGCTTGATTCGCCCCGTCCGCATTGTGAGTTATACCGTAAGAAGCCGGTCACAAATTACATCACGCTGTTCTGGACAATTTTTCGATCCCCCGACCCCCAT